TGATCTCCTCCTCGCTGTCCGAGTCAACGCGAGGGGGCGCCGCTACGCTCGCGGCTTGTCTCTGAGCGCCGTTTGCGGACCGCAGGGCTGGACTAGCCTGCTGAGATTTGGAGTTTTTACTCCCTTTGGGGGTTGTGGAGGTGGTTTTTGGCGGGCTTTTTACAACGGTGGCCTCGTCGTCGGAGGTTTCAGAGGAGGATGATGAAGGAGGGCGGGACTTTGTCTGGGTGGGTTTGGTGGTCGGAGGCGTCTTGGAGACAGCGGGGGCGGAGGAGGGCGTTTTGGGTGCTGGTTTTTGGGCAGCTGGCCTTTTGGGAGCTTTGTCCTCCTCGCTACTGGAATCTGAAGAGGAGACCTTCTGTGGTTTTGACTGTGCCACTGGGGGCTTCTTGGGGATTTTAATTGGGCTTTTCTTGGTTGAAGCAGCTGGTTTGGGGATGACAGTCGGGCCTTTTTCCTCTGCCTTCTTTCTTTTCTTCTTCTTCTTCTTTCCTTGTGTTTTCTTATTCCTCTCATCAGCTGAAGCCTGACTGGTATCCCTCCCCACCGTCTCTACACTCTCCACGCTTCTCTTTTTCCTCTTTTTTTTGATCACTACATTTTCTCCCGGCCCGTCCTCCTCTGCGGGTCTCTCTCTCTTTCTGCTGTTTTCACTGGAAGCATCTGGACCGCCGCTGTGCCCGTTCACCTGGGCCAGACAGCCCACCTTCACCCTGGAAAACGAAGAATCAGAATCGGTCTATTGCCAAGTACGTTACACATACAAGGAATTTGGCTTGGTGATTGGTGCATGACAATAAACAGTGCGATGGTAAAAGACATCATTTCAAAATGTACAATCGTTCTTGCCCGCCTCAGGGTCCTGGAGGAGAACAGGTCGTAGAGGGACGGCAGATTGCAGCCAAAGGCCCAATCCCAATGTCCCCCCTTAAGGCCTCAAACCCTGAACCCTCAAGGACTTACTGACGTCACCTGGTAGATGGTTGAATGTGAGAGACTGTGAGGGCTTCAAATGGCATAAATATCAATGGACAGCACTTTGCTGCCACATATCACGTTTCCATGACAACGTCAAACATTTTGATGTATAATTGTGGGTATTTATTTTATATTTTTTACTCCGTGGTTTGAACGCCTTCCAGGCTCTTTCCTCACAAGATGAGGTAACTTCATATAATCTATTTACTTGTTTTTGTCAAAACAGCTTCAATGACAAAATCAAATATTTAATGAATAAATAAATATCTTCTGATTTCATGTTTTGTGTTCCATCTTTAACCCTTAATGTTTCCGAGTAAATGTAATATTCCAGGCTGAACACACGTGAGCCGTCCTCTTTGTTTACCTTTTTTTTACATCTCCATGCTTCTACTGGTTACCCCGTGTTTAACGTCACATTGCAATGAATTGTGGGTAATTCTCTTTGGCGAAGTCTGCATCTGATGCTGACTTAAGGCTGGATATTCAAAAACTATCGGCAGCTCTGCTTTGACCTAGATTTTCAAAATGAAGCCTAACCCAGGCATAATTTGCAACTAACAATTGAACTGGGGCTTTCGGGCGGAAGTCATCTCCCTGAATAAGAAAGGATGCTCCATGCTTGTCTTTGCCTTGGCGGCCCCCCCACATCTTCAGGTGCCTGTAAGAGCTGACCTGAGAACCGCAAAGGTCGCGGCCGGGTAAATTATGACAGTAGAAGCACGCGCACCTGACGCTGTCGTTGTCCCGCACCACGTACACGCTCTCCGTGTGCGGCAGGTAGCAGTCTTCCACGAAGAGGCTGAGGATGCTTCCGCGGCCAAACTCAAACTTATCTCTGATGACGCTCTCCAGGTCCGCCACCACGCGACACGTGTTCAGGTCCACGAGCAGCCAGCACATACGGCAGTCAACGACGGCCGGCGGCGGGTAGTCAAAGTGTAAGCGCACGCGGATGAAGTTGTTACCGTGGGCAGCCATGCCTAACGCCGAACTCACACTCCAAAACACCGCCACTCGTGTTCCGCCTGTAACAGGGATGGTATTTCCGGTCGGGATTTTCAGGATAAGAGTGTCCATTCGTCGATAGTGTCATTAAAACTCTTCAAATCGTGATAGGCTAATAAAATGGCATATTCTGAAGTATGAATTTGAACAAATGAATTACATAGAATTTGTATTTTTGTAACACATACATGTATAACAAATTACATTTATTTATAAATGGTTATTTTTGGTGACTTAGAAATCGAATTACCGGTGTATAGTACTTTATTTTGAATGACCAACGTTAAATCGGAAGTCTGGGGTTACTCGTGATGAGAGCCAGCGCCCTGTCGAAAGCCAACTCTTTCACAACACTGCCCTCTGGCGTGGAGGCGGATTGACAGGTTCGATACAAAAGACAACACGCTGAGTTCAATGCATCAAGGGAAGTGTAGTTTATTAGAAACGTCTTTTCTGGTAGCTAGCTTGAGGTAAAAAAAATCTACCTATCTATCTAGTTTATCTGGCAACACCAAAAGTATTATCCCTCAACTGAAGCGGACTTTCGTCCCTCTTCCCGAAAATAATTATTTCTGTAACCAGAAAATATTTTTTTAATTCAGTCTGTTCTCTATCACCTTCAATTCCCATTCAACTTATGTATTTATAAGTTTAAATTAATCTTTTACACACATTTACCTAGTATACCCGGTCCCTACCCATAGTTCCTCGCAACATAGCCAGGTACATTTGAGAGAGAGGAAAAAAAAATACAACGTCTATCAGCTGACCCCGCCTGTGGTCATGTGATTTCTTGTAGCAATAAAGCCGTACAGAGCAGAACCGACACAAACTCACCCTTCAACGATGAGCCGGACAGCAGCAGCACCAGCAGCCTGGAGTTTGGTGTTTCTCCTGGCTTTCGTCGCCACTACAGGTATGATTATGGTCTGTATGAAGAGCCTCTACAAGTCTCGCCGACTAAAGTCAGACGTGACGAGTGAACTCCTCTACTCAGCTGGTTGTAAAGCGAAAGCAACGGCTGCTAAACGCTTTTAACTTTGACATATCTCCATGCGCCTTGTATTTGTTTATTAAACTCTGTAAGTAATACGGTAACTTGAACACCAATGTTAAAAACTGTGGGTGTCATTGACTCCCGCGTGCAGGGCTCCCCAGTCGTCCCCCGACCGGCAAAGAAGCCTGGAACTATGTGGAAGTGAGGGACGGGGCCCACATGTTCTGGTGGCTCTACTATGCTGACAGCCAGGATCTGCCTCTGGTCATGTGGCTGCAGGTAGGACACGACCTGGTCCACTCATCACTGCTGACACACGCACACGCACACAGGTTTAACTGATTCACAAGTCACGTGCTCTTTTCCAAAGCATCTCGTATGGTCTTGGGTGTCTGGTTGTGTTCCCCCCCCCCCCCCCATGCATTGCTGCGCTGATTAGAAAGCAGGGACTGACCTGTATAATGTTGTAAATCCTCTGTATGCCTGTATTCTTGTAAATGTGATGTCATTGCTGTGTGAGCAGCTTAAAGAGGTCTTATGTTACAAACCTGGGGCCCCTTGATGCACTGGGGAAAAGCAATCCAACAACAAAAAAGATGCTATTGAGTTGCATTCTGGGAAAAATAGCACATAGCAGGTTTTCTCATATATGTGTCTTGGGTTTTTCTGCTCCCTTGATTTTTGGACAAATGCAAACTGGAGCAGGTTTTAAGTCTATGCTAGTTGATTTCCCTATGGAAGTAAAAAGGTGTCAGCTAGTTGAAAATGACCACAGAACTAGTGACTGACTGAGCAATCTCAGTGCTGCTTCTATTTTCAGTGCAGAGGAGGAACTGACTAATGACGTTAGATGTTTATAACTGTGCTGTAAGGAGCCAAAACCAGCTGCCTGGCTAGAAGATTGTCATCTGTGCTGTGGATGATATAGTTTTATCTCTAATACTATATTAATATAATGGTTTTATTTAATATATTATTCAGGAAATCTGAAATAATAGGTCATTAAAAGTACATATTAAACAGCCCGTCTGCTGTTGGAGCGTGATGAGGATGTTTTCTCGTGTGTGTCTTCAGGGTGGACCAGGAGGATCAGGAAGTGGCTTTGGGAACTTTGCGGAGATTGGACCTTTGGACGGGGACCTGAAGCCCAGAAAGACGAGCTGGGTAAGAGAGGTTGCGGTTTAAGGTTTCGAAGGAATCCTCATCTTTGTGTCCGAGCAGCTGCTTAGCGGTCAGGAAAACGCTGCTTCGGCGCACCACGGAGCTTAAAATGTGTTAAGTTCTAGACTGTGTTCGGTTGAGTCATTGTGTCACTGAGGGTAAAAAGAGATGTCACAATCCTAGAACCACTGAGGCGTCCGCAGGGAGGGCATCATAGTAGCCTCACTGAATGGGTGAGAGTTACAATTCCACAATTATTGAAAAGCTCTTTAATAAAAAGACCATAAGCGTACGCTTTCTATTCTATATCCATTCGAGCGTAACCAAAGAGCACCTGAGCGGACACCATCCCTTTTTATTTCTAGCGTCTCCTTGATGTAACGTCAACATTGCAGCTCCAGTTACACTGCACAGCATGTCATACCCTCGTAGTTCATCACCGTGTCCCAGCCGTCATTTAATAGCCCTGTATTGTGTTGCAATCCTCTACCAGGGGGTCGCAGAGTGACATCTAGTGGGTTGCAGTGGTACTGCCAAATAAAGTTAAATTACATTTTTAGGTAATTTACAAAGCTAGTATTATTAATTATGTATTTATTTACAGCCCAGTTTCTTTTCTTTTTTTCATTTATACAGGAAGGTGTTCCTTGGCAGAATGTACCACTCGGAAGTGGGCCTTAAAGTTCTGGCCGGTTAAAATTGGGGAAACCAGCAGGAGTATGCTAGATTCAGAAATGTTTTTGAAAATCTCTAGCTTAGGGATGCAAACTCTTTTACAATGAGCAAGTAGCTAGCAGCACTAGCTCCGACAGTTGCTAAATCTAGCCAGATAGTCAACAACACTGAAAGCCTGCCCCTTCAGGCCTTCTCCAAAGCCACTCCCCCAAAAATGTCATCATTAATGGCGAACATGACTATTGTTTCTACTCGCAGCACATTACAGTCCTGCGAAAGCCACAGATAACGGATTTTGTCTTTTATTTGTCAGAGCACTTGATATATTGATTTTGGGACGATTAGTTTATTTTAGTCTCAATTGATTAAGATTTATTTTGCCGATTTTCGTCTTTCTTTTCTTTCATGCTGAGACTTGTATCCGAGAAACATATCAGCACATCTCTGCTAAACAAGATTAAATGTGGCTCTTTGGTGGAGAAACTCGTACGACTAATTATTACGGGTATGAGTTTAAGTCGACTAATAATTTCTTTAGTCGAGGACAGCCCTAGTTTAAATGGAGGTAAACATGCTGATGTATAGTGTGTGTGTGTTGGCTGTTTCAGGTGCAGGCAGCCAGTGTGTTGTTCGTAGACAACCCCGTGGGCACCGGCTTCAGCTACACCGACAGGCCGGACGGCTATGCCACCGATGTGGCCACGGTGGCCTCAGACATGTTGGTGCTGCTCCAGCACTTCTTTACAGAGAGGGCAGAGTTCCAGGTATGTCTACTGCACTTTGTGCCACTCGGGCAGGATATCATAATACTACTCTACAAAGAAACGCGAGTCCCAAAGAACATGTTTGCTCTGCTTTATTTGAAAGCCTAAGCACCCACACTAGTTTGAATGCTCCAAACATGCAGATTGAATTGCCCAAACTTTTCAAAACGGCCATTTTTGGAGGGACATAAGATATATTTTATTATCTGTCGGATAAATGAAATGGAATATAGAAAATGTATAAAAGCAGGTTATTGTAATATTGGATATAACCAGCAAGAACAACCTGGCTAGGCTGCATATGTTTGCTAGCTAGGTTTGAATTATTATTTTTTTTTACATTTATTTAAGCAAGAATAACCCTAGACAGGACTGAAAAACGTTACAAGCTGTGAATGACATCATTCACAGTGAGGACGAAGAAGTAGCAGCTAAAAAGTTAGCTTACTGATCTCGCCCTGCTAGCTAAGTGTAGCCGTAATCCTTTGTTTGCTAGAAGAGTAAAACTGTTAAAGGGATGCTTCACCCCTCAAATGACCATTTGTACCGTGAGGCATGCGAGGAAAATGGTTTTCCTCAAGAATTGAAGGAAACGCAGGGCGAGTGATTGATAAAGTCATTTGGGTGGTGAAGTTTTATATCCTGCTGCTTCTTGTATGAGTGCAGCCTTGGCTTTTAAAAAAAATAAATAAATAAATAAAATAATTCTGTTCCATTAACATCTTGTCCTTCTGCGCAGAGCGTCCCCTTCTACATCTTCTCCGAGTCATACGGAGGGAAGATGGCAGCTGCTATCTCCTTGGAACTCACCAAGGTGAGTTCCCAGCACAGTGTCACTTCTCTTAACCAACATTTCCTCCTTTTTCAGGCCTGTGACACGTGAGCTCACTGACATTGGAAAGTCCCCATGTCAAACAACTGTCATGTGATGGATGAGAAGGCAATACAAACCTGACAGTATAGTGGCTTTCTTCTTTTCTGGAGAAGTAGAAGTGATCAACTTCAATGTTATGCTTTGTAGTAGTGTAAACATTTTTAGTTGCGTCTTAGAAGAAGATTGGAACAATCAACTGCAACCCAAGTGTTCTGAACTTGATCGGGGGCTTTCTTGATTGTAGTTTGTTACTGGTGTTTATAGCTCCTATTGAAATTGCTGTTTTTTTTTTTTTTTTTTTAATTTGTCTCTCCAGGCCATTGCACAAGGGACGGTGAAATGCAACTTTGCTGGTGTGGCACTTGGGGACTCTTGGATTTCCCCACTGGGTCAGTATCCGTCACAAACCTCCATACGTGCTCGTCAAAAACAACCCCAACTGGAAATACTTTTACATTACTCGGCGGCAAGAGGCGCGCGTATTTTCCACAGAGCATCAGCACAGGTTGAATGTACTGTGGCTCCCCATAGTCCTCAGTTAAAATCATTCATAATAAACCAGTTACGTTATTGTAGTTATTACCCATAATATCCAATCACATAACATGAAGAAGGTTAAATACATTAAGAGTTTATCTTTATGGGATTTGTTGGAAAAAATAACCAGACTGCTTCATCCACAGACTCTGTGATGACCTGGGGGCCGTACCTCTACACTACTGTGAGTAACGAACTAAAGTTTCTATTAAAAATGTCGGAAGCCGATCTGCTGAGTTTCCACCTGATCGTGGCCTCTCTGCTGTGCAGTCACTGCTGGATGATTACGGCCTGAAGGACGTCATCAGTGCGGCGGAGGCGGTGAAGCAGGCAGTGGAGCAGCAGCAGTTTCAGAAAGCCACCGAGCTGTGGTCTGTGGTTGAGACGGTGGTGGAGCAGGTTGGTGCCACACATGAGGATCTGTCGGGGTCGCTTCTTCATATTCTGAGCTTTTTGTATTGTATAAGACTAGTTATGTCAACTTATTAGAGACATTAGGACTTTCCCCTCTTTCGAAGTGTATTTCATACATAGGATGTCAAATGCAGTTTGCCAAAAAACACCAGGATGTTCCAGTCGCTATTCTGACCCACAATCCCTTTGAGCAGCAGCAAGAGGGTCAAAGTTCAAGGTGCCATGTTATGAGGAAGTAGGACGTCCCAGTTGAATGCAAACTACATGCAAAAGTACGTGCTTTGTAAGGGCAGCTGCAGTATGCACTAAAAGAAAAAGTATGCAATTTGGAATGCAGCTACAGACAGCAGCTGCTTAGCTTAGCATTAACATAATTTGCACCAAATATCAACTTGATACTTTCCGGTATGTCTCTATATTTAACATATTTAAGTTACATTTTAACTAAATCTGTTGCGAATGAGGTTTTACATTTAGACACATTGCTCTGAAAGATATCTCTATAATCCGATCCTGCATTCACATGTGGAATCTGTCAGCAGCGGGACAAGATTCTGGTTTCAGAAGGGTTCTGGTTTTCCGTTTGTAGTCTTGGTTATACTGACCGATCAGATTCAAGCAGGCATTTGTTGAACCCATCGGCTATTGTCTGACAATGATTTAGCTTTTATTAATTTAAAATTAGCTTGTAAACTGGCTACTTTGTGCTACAAATTGTGAAACAATCTGGTCGCCCCCCCCTCCCCCGGGAGCTTATCTGTTGACTAATAGCAGATATTCTTCAAATCTTTTGCTCCGAAAGTAATTTTCTCCATATTGCGTATTTAAAGTGATTTCCTTGATGTGTGCATGGTTCATAGGGTTTGATGTGGTCTTGTATTGGTTTTCACCTCAGAACACCAATGGAGTGAACTTCTACAACATCCTCACCCAGGAGCCGGATGAGAGACGCGCCTCTGTGGCAGGAGAAGACTTTATCTGTAAGTGATCGCATTGACTCAGCAATTTAAAACAAAGAATAGCTGATTTGGTGACATGAAATGTTTCATAACATGAGTCTAAATGTTAATTATTTAAAGAGGGTTAATGCAAATTTTTTCCATTTTCACTTAAATGTTGTCTCCACCAGCTCTGCAGACGCGTCGCCATATTCGACCGCTCCATGGCCAATCGCTGAGCGAGCTGATGAATGGACCAATCAGGAAGAAGCTGGGCATCATCCCCAAGAATGTCACCTGGGGAGGTACCGTATCTCTGCAGTGGATTTTGTCCCAAGAAATCTTTTCCTTCTGTTCCTTGTCATCTTTTATATACTTGTCCTTCTCCTGTCGGTGTCCAGGCCAGGCAGAGGACGTGTTCAGCAACATGGCAGGAGACTTTATGAGGCCTGTGGTGGACATGGTCGACCAGCTGCTGATGGCCGGAGTAAACGTCACCGTCTACAACGGACAGCTGGATCTCATAGTGGACACCATGGGTAACGTACTCCGTGTATTACCTCCTGTTCAGCTCTAGCAGCAGTGGTGTAAACCCATCCTGCGAAAAAAAGAGCTGTACCACATGGGGTCTCTGCTTCCTGTCATAGGTCAGGAGCTGTGGGTGAATAGGCTGAAATGGGAGGGGCTACCTGGGTTTAACGGGCTGAGGTGGACCCCCCTGGATGACCCCACCTCCCCGGGTGTTACCGGAGCTTTCTGCAAGACTTATAAGAACTTCGCCTTCTACTGGATCCTCAGAGCCGGTCACATGGTAAGATACAGATACACCCGCTGTGGCGTTGCCTTTTATTCTTCTCATGTCTGCCGCGTTTGTAATTGCTGCTATATTAATAACCCATTATTATCGACCACACAATAAGTTTGTTAACCGATTAAGCCAACAATTTTGCCTTAAATTCTGGCCACAACAGCCGGTTCTGAAAAGGGAAGCTATTGCGGAAGTGCATTCTCTCTAATGGCCATCAGGGGGCGACTCATCTGGTTGCCAAAAGAAGTCTGAGAAAATGACTCTACTTCTCGCTTGATTTATTACCTCAGTAAACATGAGTTTATGGTCTCGATCTCTAGTTTCAAGTCTTCAATACAGCATGATTTGATACAGTACAGATGATCATTTAGTAAATTATGGTCCATTTAGAGTCAAATAGACCATAAAGAAGAGTATGCTTTAGGGCGGGACTACCTTCTGATTGACAGATCGCTACCATGGCGTAGTCCGGTCTGAGTTGTTTTCATCTCAGAACTGTAACCCTTTTACAGTGTTTTCAATTCATGAAAGTTAATTGTAGTAATTTTGTTGTGGTTGCAACCAACTTTTTCTGTCGTCACAGATTCCCTCAGACCAGGGACCGATGGCCTTGCAGATGATGAGGATGATCACCCAGCAGGTTTGATCCACTGCCAGCTGGAATGGCTCTGACAATCACAATGATCACATGACTTTTTTTTTTTTTTTTTTTTCCACCGTACTAAACCAAAATAAATCTGACAGCTCTGATTACAGTAATGACCTGTGTAATTTTCAGCCATAAGAACAATAAAGGCACTTTTCTTTTTTTTTTTAGTAAATGCTGCCGTGTGTTTTCTTCTGTTTAAAGATGCTTGTCGTTGTCCTGACTACATATTAGAGTGTGCTTTCCCCGAATCCTAAGTTTTTTTTTTTGTTTTTTTTTTCTTATTCTTGAATGACAATTGCTGTAAAGCAAAATCTTTGATAAGACAGGTGATGTTAATTGACAGCTTGAGGGAGTGGCGGCAGGGTGAAAGGTCAATTGCACAAGTGTTGGTACTCTATTTCCCATGATGCACTTACGTTGTCCAATTTGAATTGGACCTAGACGTGTGAAGGAAAAATTACCGCCCCAATGATCACATGTTTTAGTTTATTGTATATGTGACAAGCTCAAAATCATCACATTTCCATTTCAATAACTCTTTGATAAAACATTGAATGTTACTTTGCAAGATATATTGTCTGCATACATATCGCTAGCATACAGTTTTATAAAGAAACAAACCAAATCCACATATATATATTAGTGCTGGGCAAGTAATTCATTAACGCAGACAAATATTTTATCGCATGTTAACGCAGTTTTTTTTTTTTTTTTTTTATAAATTAAGCGGACATTTTTAACACAAGAACCGACCAGCCGGCAGCGAGTGGTGAACCGTTTGTGGCGTCTCTTCCACCTACATTCCCCTGGGTCCTAAGTCCCTCCATGTACAGCTTCTTATCACCCTCTATGTACGAACGTACATTTATAACAAATACCACAACGGTAATCAGCGTTGCATATGTGTCTGACCAAAATACCAAAAAAAGCAATTTTTAAAGTGGTTTTATTTGGAATATGTATAATAAGCATATCATTTAGTTATCGCTACTGAGAATAAAACATGACTTAAAAAGGTTTGCAAAGCGTATATTTCAAATTGCATCTCTTACACAAAGATAAAGTTGTGAACACTGGCTGAATATCTATCAGAATCATAACTATTTGAACTGCTACTGTGTAAAGGGAATTGTAGCGGCGTTCCGTCTGTTCATTATTAAGCAGCAAATGAGCTGCGGACAGTGACTTCATTTTCTTATGCGAATGACGGGAGATCTTTCAAGTATTTTCCTTTTGTCTTACGCAGCAAAGCGTTAAATACACAAATATTATACTCTTGTCACACGGTAGAAAAACTATATGCTCTCGTGCCTAATGCAGCTCTTTGTGTTTTGCACCGGCTGCCGTCATGACGTCATTAAACCAAGAAAAAAAGGGAGAGCCATTAACATAAATGCTTTTCCTTTAGTTCCTGCACAATGAGCATAATTCAGAAATTAAATGGTTAATAAGCCCAAAATTCCAATTAACCAATACATACACTTCTGGCTCTTACAGGAATACTGCTGTTAAAAAGAACCTTATTTGTTGAAAGTGTTTGCAAACCAAATGTTATTGCACTTTTGTTCATATAGCAGCACTTTTACAATAAAAGTGCACAATACACTACTTTTGAATTCATTATTGAATTTAAAGATTGTAATCGTTGCCCAGCACTAGTATTTATATGATGAGAAGAAAGAAATAGTATATTTGGATCAGTAAATCTCTTTTGGCGAGACTGTGCAAAAAGTGATATCTCTGACTCCTGATACATTCGATATACTGGTGTCAATCTTATCTCCGTCTTGATAAAGTAATTAAGGGAACTGAAGATCCTCTTGCTCGTTGTTTTTCTGGATTTTTGCCCAGTTGCCATGGAGATGGATCTGTTGATGCACTCATAGCCCTGATGAGAAGCGCATGGTCTGGTTCGAAGCTCAAGAACACAGTATGTGGAGCTGGGATTGGTTAAAGTCAGTGAAACAAAGCAAGACACAATAACTCAAGCAGATTAGCATCATGTTTTTTTGGTCAATAGCTCCACTTTGCCACCTCCACCTAAATCTAAAAATGTGACATTCAGATTTAAAAGTTGCCAACCACACAGTTGTCAGTTTTATAGCCTTCACTGGGACTTTCCAAAACGGTCTCTTAACACAAAGCCAAAAACATATCAGTGCTCCAACTTGTGAATGTTGAATTTTACATCAGAGCCATGAATGCAGCACCATAACGTAAGCATTTATGTTAGGTCATTGCGTTAATGCCTCTGTGTAGCTGAGGCTTCTTCTTCCCCAGTGGCTCTCTGGGACAAGGAGGCCCTTCCTGCTCACCGGCTCCACCACCAGCTCCAGAAGGCCGGGCGGTTCGGGCACCACCAGCTCCGTCACTCTGAAAAGATTAGAGTACGCCCGGCCCACCAAAACGAGCTCACCCGGGGGGATCCTGGGATCGGGTCCTCTCAGCCGTCGCCAGTACACCCGGAAGTGGCGCGCGAGCTCCGTCAGGTACTTCCAGCGCAGGGTGGCGTTTAAGTGCAGGCAGGGAGAGGGGGACTCTGGTGAGGTGCCGGCACCGCGCAGCCACACCACGTCGTAGATGCACAAGCCCTGAACCAGCTCAGTGGGAACCTGCAGACCTACATCCAAAAGCTTAAAGAGAGAGAGAGGGGGGGGGGGCACATGAACCATTTAACAGGGAGGAATTCTCATATACTTTTATTTAAAGGGCCAGTGTGTCGGATTTGGCAGCTGCGAGAGGGAGTTGAAGTGGAAATCCTGTATTTTACTAGTGCCAGTTCCATTGAATGAACATAGTTATGGTGTTAAAACAGCTGAGGACATTGAACACAACTGGCTCACCATGATTTCCCCCACCCTGCAGCTGAATGGCGTGTCCTGCGGCGGTCCGTCCCGCTGGATGCTGAGACAAACTTCTCTGAGAGCACAGCCACGAAGCTCCAGCTGGGAACACCTGCCCGCAGTGACACGACGGAAACAGACTTTAAAACGATAAACCCTTTAACTTAGCTGTTAACTCGGCTGTTAGGAGTGCCTTACCCGACAGTCCAGCCATCTGGACTCGAGTTGCCGCACAGCTGAGTGAACTGGCTCACCAACTGGAGCCCCTCATCCTGTACCACAGGAGACCCGCTGCTAGCTGCGGAAACATACAATCAGTGCTTGGCAATATGGAACCCAGGAAGATACAAATCCGAAGAAAACCTTTGCAACAGCAAGCATTGGGGCGGGGGTTGGATATTCCAAAAGTACCTTGGGCATCACGGGTATGGACTGTAAGGAACTCACGTTTGACATCCCGGACGTCCATGTGCGTGCAAAGACGGGCGTCTGTTGTCTTCATCTCCAGGGACACTTTGATCCCGGTGGATGGCTTGTAAATGAGGGTCACCAGAGTCTTGGATGCCAGGGGTACGTGGAGGGACAAGATCCTGAAAGAGATTCAAAACGGAGTACTGTGGACGTACTGTGAGACTTGTGTGGAAACTAAAGCAAGGGGGAACGAGAAACACACACTTGGCACAAACTGGAGACGTGTGCGTGGCGGGGATGAGTCCGTCCAGCAGCAGTGAGCAGCCCCCATTCCAGGCGTCCTCTGGGCAGCCGCGGCTGCTCAGCCAGCCCTGGCCCTCCAGCTCTGTGCAGTAGTACAAGGGTTGGATCTCCTGGGCGCTCAGGTTGAACCAGCTCCTGTTGGCCTCGCGCTGCACACACACACACACACACACACACACACACACGAAATAAAATGTTACAATCGACTCTAAAATGGACTGCAGAGATGTGAGGACTAGTGCAATGGGGATCAATGTTGCTCTTCCTTCCTGGAGTTAAAACAAAATCAATAAGTTGGCTTAGATCTAACAAATGTACTTCAGGACGATGTCCAGGTTATCTACTACATTATATGTCCTCGATCATATTTACGTTGTTGACTTATTGTACAAAATATGGACTTGATCTCGATCATATAACGTTACTGCTTATGTCGTATGACATATTTTACTGACCTCAATATCGTTCGAATTTGGCCAACATGATTCCAGAATAAAGAGCTGGGTTTTTCCTTCCATTATAAGACTTGGACATAGGCTATGCACATTTTTGTTCACAGAGCCCCGAGTGTACTTTTCTTTTTTTTTTTTTCACATTCCAATTCCAATGTCTGAATATTCTCACAAAGTGGCAGTGGCTTAAAATGGTCATAAAATGACAAACGAATATTGTTTATCGCAATTATTTCTGGGACGATAGATCATCCAAGGAATTTTGTTATGGTGATGGGCACTATGTACAACTGTTTAAAAGCCCCACACCATCTGCCTTTGGTTGCAGATCCACCTCCTTCAGTACCTGTCCTCTCCAGTAGATAGCCTTCCCAAAACCCTGGCAGAAGGAGGAGATGAAGGGGAGTGGCGAGGCTGGCCGATGGATGTACAGGTAGTCTGACAGAAGAGCCCAGAACCTGCAAGCAGGACGGGTCACGGTTAAATAAGAACATCGCCGCTTTCTTTCTTCTGCTTTCAAAGTTAAAGTTGAATGTGTGCATTCCCGTCACTGTCAGTATTGTGTTGATCTCACTTGTCCTGATTCTTGCGGAACTTGGTCTTGTCGTTGAGGGTCTCGTACACCCAGCCTGGGGCAAAGATGGCCGTGGAGAAGCCGTGCTTCCGAATGATTTCCAGCGCCTGCGGGCGACCGAAACAAGAGGGTGCATACCGTCAATGATGGTAACGATCAACGCTTTCTTCAGAAGCAGACGTGTTCCACAGTGTGTACCTTATTAGTTTCCAGCATTCCTCCCACCACCTTGCCTCGGGCGAACACGTCCACCCCGATGTAGACGTCAGCCTGGCGGCCTTGGATCCCGCTGTAGTCCCTCATCCACTCCAGGTTCTGCTCTGTCCAGTTGTAGTTGGTGAAGAAACCATCACAAGCGTCGAAAAACATCCTGTTATGAAGAGATTGAGATAAAGTGTTGGACAGTTATCAATGAACTGCCAAATTGTTGTAATCATCTCTGGTTGTTTATATCGAGTTCTGCTACTAATTTCAAATTGATCTACCTGTTTGACTGGTTGAGCTCATTTTGCCACGTCAGCTTTCCGTTCTCAATCACGCTGTCGTACCAGAGCACCAGGCTGCCAGGCACCCGCTCGTGCAACTGGTCCGTCAGATAGTGCAGGAACAAAAGCGCGTTCTTCACCGCAACCTCCTGCAGACAGATGGCGGCACACACGGGGACTTTACATGCTTTTCAGGCCGAGGTCTTGAAGAGACAGGCCACTACAAAATGTGTACTCACCGTCTAAGTTTAGCGTGTTAGCATGCTAACATTTGATAATCATCAGTAAGCATAAAGAACAGCAGAGGCAGATGGTAACGTCATTAGTTCTGTAGGTGTTTGGTCATGAACTAAAGTGTTGGATGAGTTATATTGTTGACCTGATGATGGCGCTAGATGAAAAGTCAGAGGATCACTAAAGTTATTACAATTAATCCTATCTCATTTCATGGCAGTTCATTCATTCATTTCAAGAATCCGCATCCCCAAATTCAGTAGAATTCATCCTCTTGGAACCATCTATGTACAAAATCTTCTGCCAAACCATCTTGCAGAAGTTAAGCTATTTCACAGGATAAGTGACATTAATCGACCTGCTGGTGGCGCTGGAGGAAAAGTCGAGGAATCACAAAATTCTGTATCTTTCATCCTCGGGGGACCAAGAATATTTGTACAAAGAAGAACAAATTCCAGGTCACTCTGGATGGGCATTGCTTTTGTGAATTGACCTTGACCTTAGGATAAAGGTTCCCCCTGGAACTCTTTCAGAGGGTTCTTCCTTCAACCCAAGGGTTACACTTAGAAGAACCATATGTGAAAGGTTCCACCCAGAACCCCGTATTAGAGGCTCTACAGAGAACCCTTCTATGGTGTAATGGTTCCACCCAGAAACCTCTCTCAAGGTTCAATCCAGACCTTCTAAGGGTGCTAACAAGAGCCCACCCACACGGTTCTACTTAGAACCCTTTTATATTCCAAAGGTTTCATGTAGAGTATTGTGTTGACTGCCAGGATAAAAGTCTTACTCACACTGAGGGAGTTCTCTATGTTGATGAGCCAGCCATCGAAGCCGTAACAGTGGCTGATCTGGACTAGTTTGTCAGCCACCGCCCGGTACGACTCCTCCTCTTTCAGGAAGGCCTCGCACGCTGCGGCTCCGTCGGTCCACTCTGTGATGAACGACCCTGAAAAAGCAGACCAATTATGATTTTACAGATGAAGACAGGTTTTAAATTCAAAATATGATACCCGATATCGAAGATATAAAACACAAATTCAGGATTCCTGAACTGGACCTGGTTCGGTTTATGTTTGGCCTTTTGACTCACCGAGGACAACGACTCCATGTTTATGCGCTGCATTGGTCCACACAGCAGGAGGAATAGTCACCATGTTGTGTGTGAAGTAGTTGAAAATATCAATGTATTGCCAGTGGTAGAAGGCATACGGGGCCTCTGCACTTGTCCCCTGAGCAAACCTTGACCACAGAAAAGAGAGCATGACAAAGCATTATGTGAAAAGGGTTTACATATCTTACAGCAGAATGAACGAACAAACTTCTCGAGTGGTCCAGACCTGTCGTATAATGCCTTCATCAGAATATAAAATTAACACTCCATTTACCAAAAACCATCCTTATCATCATCACTTTCATGATGTGAAAACACAATGTGAAAGGGTTAAAGTTGTAAGACCAAAATCCCGGACAAATCCCAGACCAGACAACGCTGTGGTAGCAAACTGTCAATCAAGAGGTAGCCCCGCCCTAAAGCATACCCTGCTTTATGGTCTGTTTGACTCTAAATGGATCATAATTTACTAAATGAACATCATGCTGTATTGAAGAAGACTTGAAACTAGAGATTGAGACCATAAACTCATGTTTACAATGTTTACTGAGGTAATAAATCAAGAGAGAAGTAGAGTCATTTTCTCATAGACCTCTTTTTGCTACCAGAGGAGTCGCCCCCTGCTGGCCATTAGAGAGAATGAAAGTTTTAGGCACTTTTACATTGGCTTCACTTTTCAGACCTGAGGAATGCCACTTGAAAGCGTCACATCACCTACTCTAGGCTGTAATATTCTCTCATATACTGTACTACTACTATTGTACTACTGTCTATAAGTAAGGAGCTGGAAGGTCATTTGTAGATTTTGGGATGACACTACAAGATCTGGGAGTATAACTTTTAGAAGCAAAAGTCTTAAAAACCAGATTTTTTTTTTTTTTTTATTCAGCACTAAATATGCCTCCATACCTGTCATCCAGGTAGCCTCCCATCATGTCGTGAGACACCAAGGTGCGACGGAGACTTCTGGCAAGAGGAGGCTCCCGAGGTGCCAGGGGGACTGCCGCCACATTGAAGGGGTTCGCCTCGCTTCGTTTCCATGACAACAGCTCCTCCAAAGATTGAAGGCCACAGCTGATCGGTTCGGTGGTGTCGGCGTCGTAATGTTTGGCTGAGAGGGAGAGGACATGATGCATATAAAGTGTGGTCATCAAGTCATCGACTGCAGCTAAGATTCTTTTTCTACTGCTGCTTGTAACAAAGACACCTCACCTGGCAGGGGGGAGGGCAAATAATTGATGACTTCATGGACACCACTCAAATCCATTGGTTGATCCAAACAAGACTCCAACCTGGTGGAAGTACAAGGTGGCAAGGTGAGACTGGTGCATTTGGTTGAACATTAAATCACATTAGTAACTTAACTGGTTCTACTATGATAGAGGAACACCATGCAACATTTACTTTCAACTATTCATTAGTCTGCAATGACAAATGTACCCTTTAAATGTCCACTAGACTTGAATTTCAGGGCTGTGCATTGACCATAGACTGTATATAAGAAGTGGACGTAGTCATCGTGACGTCACCCATTGGTTTGTGGACTGCTGTTATGAAGCCTTTTTGCAGTCGCCATCGTTTTACGGATGTCGCCATGATGGGTTTTTTTTGCAACCGATGAACAGAAGTTACCATATTTGGAATGCGGAGGAGTGACAGAGACGCCATATATGTCTCTGGTAGCGGCAGCGACCTGTCAATCGCAGTAAGCCCGCCCTAAAGCATACCCTGCTTTATGGTCTATTTGACTCTAAATGGACCATAATTTACTAAATGAACATCATGCTGTATTGAAGAAGACTTGAAACTAGAGATTGAGACCATAAACTCATGTTTACAATGTTCACTGAGGTAATAAATCAAGAGAGAAGTAGTCATTTTCTCATAGACTTCTATACAACCAGACTTCTTTTTTCAACATGAGGGAGTCGCCCCCTGCTGGTCAGTAGAGATTGCGTAAATTTTAAAACACTTCCCTTCACTCGGCAGAACCGGAGGTTGTCGCCTTTTATTGACTAGAGACGCATCAATTCAACTTTTTCAGTCCCGATAGCGATACCACGGCTTTTGGGAATCTGCCGATACCGAGTACCGATCAGTGTTTAATTAATAAGCGGTATGCCTCGCTGTGTATGGCGACATCAGGCCCTGACTTATAAAACAATGCTTCACTAACATTGTAAAACAAAATGTAACAAATAAATACATAGATCAATCAGTCAATTTATGATTGTTGTTTGTCATCAAAATGATAAATTGCACTCCAGCAACATGGTAAAAAAAATGAACGGGAATTACAATTCAAGTGTAAAATGTCAAGTGTTTAATTGCCATCCAGCTCTTGTAAATGGTAAACATACTGACGAAATAAGTATCAGAGTACAGGAAGTTACCGGCTGGAGTCACTTGTGTCCGTCTTCCCTCCGACGTTAGGATCCTCTCCTCGCAGGGAAAGCTGGTTTCCATCCCCGGTCAAAGCCATTTCACTGACTTTAGATCAGTTGACAAACCTTTGAGGGAACAAACTCAATCGTGAAAGAGGAAACAGAGAGGTGTTTCCTGCGAGCACCAAGAGCGAAACACTTCCGACCCCCAATCCTTCAGAATAAAAGCGTAATTTCCATAAATTAAAATGACAAGAAAAATAAAAACTAAAGCAGCACAGCTGATACATTGTTACTTTATATAAAATGCCGTACTACAATAATGAAATTATAACTTTCAAAACCGTTAGGTATTGTGTTCCCCTTTAAAGACGCTGCGAGATGAAGTTTTTTTAACCATGCTTTACCGCAGAAGTGCAAAAACATAGAGGTGTACAGAGTTTATGTTGGAGGACTCCGTGTAGTTTGTTGTCTATAGAGGATGGACTCAGGCCAGCTGGACAAAGGAACCACTCTTTTGTTGTTGTGCAGGACCAGACTCTTTACTTGGAAGAGATGAGCCCCTAGTAAGCAACCAAACACGAACAACAACACCAGGCAATGAGTGAGGAGACTGAGGACGGCAAAGATGGCGGTCGTAAATAATACTTCACCGCTTCGGGGAGTAGTGCTGTATGGCTGATATTTTCCAGCGAGGTCAGTTAAATAATTTTTGTAATTATATATTATTTAAATATTATTTAAGTATTATTCATGGAGTGGAAGTAGTATTTATGGACACCATCTCTATACACGTATATATATTTTCACACTTTTTTTTTCTCTAACTCACAATGAAATTGAACAGACTTATGGAAATACAAACTTCATTTCATTATGTCATGTTTTTCAAAATGATACAGGCAATGTAACCATACCATGGAGGCTTCTGGGTCACAAACTGAAAACCTAATTAACGTCAAATAAAGTTCAGTTATGATAACGTTTACCCAGCAGCCTCCTGCTTTACAGGTTCTCTGTCTTTTTCCATAACATCTCTCCCAATTCAGGTTCACGCTAACATCACAAATTTGAGCTTTTAACACTCTAGTTTTGGGGATTTGGGATAGAGTTGTTCATGTTTACTAATATTTTTGGACTGTCTTAGAACGTAGGAATACCATTTACCAATTTATCAAAATAATAAATTAAAATATTTACCACAC